CGGCCCCCCCCAAAAAAGCAAGTCCAAAAAATCGAGGAAAAAACTATGTTATGCAGAAAAATAAACTGAGCAACATTTGCCTCAGGGTCAAACAAATTTTCCCTCAGCGTCACATCGAAATTCGTTACCAAATTAAAATAAATAAATAAATAAAAATATATTATATATTATTATATCGTTAAACGGAGCTGCCCGCTAAACCGTAGGCAGAGAGGGAGAAGAAGACAACAAGCGAGGGGCTGTGACAAACTGTTTCGTCGGAGTTTCACCGACTAAGAAGATAAAAAGTGAATTGATTTTTTCTTGTTTTTTTTTTCGTTTTTGCGCTCTGATATCTTTGTGACGATATATATTTTCTCTGGCCCGGCCGGGCAAGTGGTCCCGGGCCAGTCTGGTAGCCTACTAAAAGAATAAATAAATGATCGGCAGTTACTAACCTCCATCTCGCTCGCGGGCGTTCGGCATAAAGGCAGCGCTCTGTCCGAGGGCTTCGTTCTACTGCTTGCGAGATGCGGAAATGCCGAGTGTATGTTGCTCCAAACCGTGGCAAGATACATTCATCATTCTCGAAATTGGCGCATGGGCGGACCAAGCACTCATTATGTTTACCCTAGGTCTCCTCTGCCGCTTGCTGTTCCAATAACTTTGGCCACGACCTTGGCGCGCAGGGCCTTATCCAAGCTTATTAGATAGAGAGGGAGGTACTTTTTTTTTTTTATGTGGTCCGATGGACCACGGATCAGATATTAAACTGATCAGAACAGATACTACACTTGATCTTAGCCAAAAGGCCGAGAAAGGTATAGGAGGTACATTTTGAGAGTAGGAGCACGAGTCTTTTTTCTGCAGCAGCTGACCGTCTTCTCTCGAATTGAACGCATGTGTTTATGACTTTTTTTCCATTTATATTTAAAAGGGCGACAGTCGCCTTGAGATATCGTCGTTGTACTAACTCGCCCCTGGTAATCAGAAATTACTATTTTGTCATTCATCATCTGGATTCGATTTTTTTTTATTTTTATTTTTTAAATATTCGAACTTGGGTCTGCATTTGAACAGTTCATGGGTGTACCAACTGAGCTATACAGCCTATAAGGCTCATTGGTGCTTTATGACTTTTTTTTTTTTTTTTTTTTTTTGGTTGTCAATTCTTTATGACTATTTTGGAGGCCTCCGTGGCACCACAGTGAAAGTACATTTTGAGAGCGCTAACAGAGTTGTTATCGGAATCGCTCACTGGCTTGCTCCGATAAGAACACGATGGGCATTATGGCCATGTTACAGCAAAAGTCCCCGCCACACGACTTGCATTGTTAGAGCATATATTCGCAATAAGACTTTTCTGAACGTATCTGACCGCAAATACGTCCTATCCTGGATGCATCTGACAGTAAGTACGGCTCATCTTGGATGTATCTGACCGCAAGTACAGGCATTCCTGGAAGTATCTGATGGCAAATACGGCCTATCCTGGATGTCTCTGACGACAAATACGGGAAAAGTCATAAAACCTCCCCGTGACGATACCTTTGTATCCATTTCCCCCAAACAGGAAACCTCCCCGCGACGAACCCTTTGTATCCATTCTTTCCCCCCCCCCCCCCCTCCCCAAAACGGGGATCCATTTCTCTCCCCCCCCCCCCCCCCCCCCCCCCCCCCAAACGGGGACCTGGATACCACGGTTCCGTCCCGGCCAGGTTTCATGACTTTTCCCGACAAATACGGCCTATCCTGAATGTCTCTGACGGGAATCACGTGCAGAGCTCAGCTGAAGAAAGTCCCTTTCCTCTGTTGGTACACCCACGAACTGTTGAATGCAGACCTAAGATCGAGTCCAGGTACAATCGGATGACCAGAAGAATAGAATAATTCTTGAATTACCTAGGGCCGTTCAGTTTAATGATGATATCTGAAGGCCGTCGCCCTTTCCAGGAAAAAAAAGTCCCTGAGTAACATTGATCTGTGTTGTTCCAGGCTGTTTTGCTGGGCGCGGAGCACCCAACTTGTGCCCGGACACACGCCCGGGCATGAACCCCGGGCAGGGTTCCGGGAAGCCCCACTGCAAATATATGTATGTATATATATGTGACGATATATGTGACGTATGTATGTTTGACGATATATGTTATATATGTATATGTATGTATATATGTGTTATATATTGTATGTATATGTATGTAATATGTATATATATATCGTCATATATATATCTTAAAAATATCCAGGGAAAAAAATGTGTAGAATTGCAACACAAACGGCTTTTGGCTAAGGGTCATATCATTTGTCAGGGACAAGCCAGCTTGAAAGAAGATAAAGAAGAAAACAACAGAATCAGACTATGGTACCCCATTTTAGATCCCTTTAGCCCCTTGAAAACTGATTTACACCCCGCTACACCCACCTTGACAGCCAGCATTCAAAAAGAGAAAGGAGTCCGGATTTGAGCTCCTCTGGGCATGCACAGAAAACCCCCACCCAAAAAGAAAGAAAGAAAGAAAAAGGGCTGATTTTTGCCTGCACAGGGCCCCGTGCAGGTAATCCCCAGGAGACTTGCCCATGCTGCAAGGCTGGGCGAGCTAAGTAGCCTAGGTGCTGTTGGACCCCCCCCCTCTCTCATAAAAGAAAAAAATTGTGCTGCTGGACAGAGGGTCTGCACACGAAACGAAAACGAAACGAGTGCATCTATCGCACGAAAGGTGGCAAAGTAGTAAAATACACTCGTTACTATTTATAACAAACGGATGAACCTGGCCATTTTTTGCAGGAAGATGCACTCGTTTCGTTTTTCGTTTCGTGTCCCGTGCAGATTCTGCTTAGAATGGAAAGGTATGGCGGCCATAAGGCTGTTCTTACTTTCTTTTTTCGCCAAAAAAAAAAAAAAAAAAAAGTGCTCGGATCTCCAAGGTGCCACCTTTGCTTGGGGATCTGACACAAACAGGCCACAGCTTACGAAACGTGTTGGCATCACGATTCACGATAGTGTTCCTCGTTTTGTTCTGTGTGTGTGTGTGTGTGTGTGTGTGTGTGTGTGTGTGTG